AATATCCTGTTTCATTTTAACCAAGCTACTGTAAGTATAACACAGTAATATCCTGTTTCATTTTAACCAAGCTACTGTAAGTATGTCACAGTAATATCCTGTATTGTTGTAACTAATCTACTGTAACATTTAACTTATGTATTGCCTTTTTGAGAGTAGAGTTTGCTCTTTAATTAAGAGTTTATTATCTGCACCTGACACAAACCACGTTTTGTTTTTGAGCTTTCTTTAAGCATTCACTCTACAGTAGCTACAAATGAACTGATAAAATACAAGTTAGGTATTTAAGTAATGAGACTCCACTTTCAGATTTACTATAAAAACCAGCATCACAAAAACTGATTACCCTCTATTTACGTGCAAGATTCTACATAGAACAAAAGATGGTGCTTATTGGAAAAATTCCTAAAGCAGTTATGATAAGCAGAAGTGGCCATCTACATACATTCTGTTGTCACCAAGTGCTGTTCTTTTCTCATAGATTCATAACAATAAACAAATGAAAAACAGTGTTGAGAGTAGAGATCATTAACCCTTTATTAAGTGGCAAGCTATTGTAGTTATAACAGTTATCCTATCTTGTTTTATTTGAAAGTATTGTAAGTGTTACATGATATCCTTTCCCTGGTGGGTCAACAGTAGTCTGAAATCTTATAATATTAAAAATTGAACTTTGATACTTGTGGTAGTCAGAGCACAAATACTTCATTGTATAGCTTTATGATTAACAACAAACAAATACGGTATCCTATCTTTTTATTAACTAAACTATTGTAAGTGTTACACAATATCTGGTTTAAACCAAGGTATTGTAAGTCCTACACAGTATCTTCTTTTAATGACACTGCCATAAGCATGACACAATACACAAGATGTAATCATGTGGCAGATTTGACTTTACAGCTATTACAACTTAATATAAAGAATGTGTGTGTGTGAGACTACTATTCCTAATTAATTAGCTAGTACCTTGGAAACCAGAAATCCCAATTTTACCTAATTTCTTCTGAATAGAAGTTCCCTAAAATTCTGAACATGAATGATTTTCAAAGCATATGCACATTTTCTTGCATTTTGTTGTTTTTCTTTGGTTTAGGTATCTAAGAGTTATTATCATGTTCATTTTCTAGGGTAGTGTTATGGCACAACGAATGTTTGATACCTACTCTCCTCATGAAGATGAGGCTATGTCTTTGTTTCTTAATATGGTTTCAGATGGGAGAATAATCATTTTTACAATAAAGGTAAGTAAATTATCAAGTCCTTTTTGTCAATAATTGGTTAGATTACTACAGGAACTTTTAGTAAGATTACATCACTTTTTTTATTAATTTCTTACTTTTAATTCATAAACTGGGGAAATGATGGACTCCTAACTCCTTATTATGCATAAGAGATCAAGATGAGATAAAAGTCAAGGTCATTTCACTGTGGGATGTTTGTTACATGGAGGATACCAGTTCTAGTTCAGTTTGTGGTCTTCATGTTCTATCATTATCATTCTCTTCAGAAAAACGCTACACAGCTTTTATACAACCTGGTGCACACTGTATCATAAATAATGTAAATGAATCATTACATAGGAAATTTTCTTTATTCCTGAGAAAAGTACACCATTTTATTTCTGATTACATTTAGCCATGTATGACCATTAGCAAATCAGTTAAACATATATTATTATCCAGATTAACTTATTGTGCTTGATTATCTGCATTGTTTAGGATGAAGGAACATTTCAGATGAAGCAACCAGCTAGAGACCTTATGAAGAGATTAGGTAGCAAGAAGTCGCATGGAATAGGTTGGAGAGACATGTGGGCCATGGTCACTCAGAAGGGTGGTGAGCTATTCGGGGTTTCTTCTCTGAACAAAGATGATTTATACATTGTCATTTAAAACATACTGTAAAATCCTCCTGGTCTTTAGACCATGGCAGAATTATTTATCATTAGCTATTACATTATTTCAATGCACTCTTGTTTTTTTAACATGAAGTTTTCATTAATGCTGTATTGTATATAGCTTTGTGTTCAAACATTGGAATCAACAAAAATCATTTGTAACTTTTCAAAAACTTATTCAAAAGTATATATTTACTAAATACTAAAATCGGTTAATTTTTTTAAAGTGATGGGCAGGAAAAAAGATTTATATTGTTATTACCCTTCAGGCAAAATTTTTGGAGAATCATACAGTAAAAGTCCGGAGTTTAACAGCTGGGGTGCTCCAGTTCTACTAAGAGTGGAAGTTCCACTTGTTCCTGTTGAAGGTAATGTTAAATTTGACTATGAAGGTGATTCTTTTTAAGGAAGAATTAGACTTGAAGGGTGGGATAAATAGTAAACAAGAGTTAAAACCTATCATAAGCAGTCTGGAATTATAATTGTTCCTTAAAAATGGCTTAGCAGTAAAGAAAAGGTATAGATAAAATATACACATTTCACCAAGTTAACTTTGTATCACCTTCAGTATAACACACACATATATGGAAGAACAAACCAGAAGTTATATCAATTAACAATAAGCTAACTTCCAATCATCACCAATTTGTTAATACGAGTGAACTTGATTGTATAATAATATGTTTTCTTACCATAAGTAGTTTGTTATGTCTATCATATTCAAGTATAAGTGTTATTAGTCTTACTTGTTACAGGTTCTGTGTTTTCCTTTCATTAGTATTCAGAAATATGCAAAGAGTCTTAATAGTGCAAATATACTGGTTTTTAAAGTTTCAGTGTATCCATGATACATAATATCTACATTCTCAAAGATAGGAAAGATTAGCTTGAATGTTGCCAAGCATTATATAATAATAAAAATAAAAAAGAGGATTCATCTTATAATTTGATATGTAGGAACAAAATATTTTCTTAGATTTATCTCATCTTTTAACTTGAGATAGAAAAGGAACAAAATATTTCCTTTTTAGATTTATGATTATAAGTTTAAAAAAAAATTTTGTGTAAACAGTTTCTTCAGGATTGTTTGTCAAATGAGGATTATACTTCTTAATATTACACATAGTAGAAGTATTTAATAAGTAGGTTGAATAAAATGGGTGTTGGGCTAAGGATTCTTCTACATTAGGTGTCTGTGACTTGTTGGTAATACATTTAATGATAAATGAACAGCATGCACTCCAATTTTTTTCAAAATAATATATATATATATATTCAAAGTAGTTAAACGTATTTACAGAAATTCCTTGCACTATAGAGATCATAGTTATATCATGAAGTCTATATAGTTCTTTTCTTGTCAAAAGTCCACTTAGGTCTATTCAATTGACAAGCCAAACTACTTTTCTCTATTTTTATCACACTTGTATTCTGTGTATAATTCACTTACAATTATAGTGTGAGTTACAACAGTCGTATACTGCTCTTCCAGTAATTGCCTGGTCCTCGTATTTCAGATATCATCTGTTCCTTTTGCCAAAGTGCACTCGGGTTGGTTCAATTACTTTAGAACTCACTTTGACAGAATAAACTATACTTCTTTTCTTGTTTAAAACTGTGAGATTTTCCTCTAACATATTAATCATTAGGTCTATATTAACTGTTAGGCCTTTCAATCCTACGGCAGTTAACTTTACGTTTAACTATCTTTGGCCAAATTTCTACTTTCCGTGACTACTTTCTCATCAGCTCTGTCTGTTCCTGCTCGTCTCACACTATTTACATATTTATCACTTAAAAAATTTCATGCGAGGCTCGATAGCCTCAACATCAAATAATTATATACACAACTTCCAATAATCATCTGTTTTTAACTCTCTTATTATTAAAAAAAAACTAAACAATCATGAAATATTAACTCACAAAATAATTAATTAATACTACCTATACTAAACAGTTTTTTTTATATCATGACATTGTTACTAAAGTTGTTTTTCGATATTTTTGTATTTTTAGCTATCTCAGTTGACCTTCTTTGTCTTAAAATTTCTTTTTATGCATCCAAGAAGTGGAACATTATAAATGTTTTTGTTGTTTTTTTATTCCAATTTTAAAGCTCTGAAGCATGTTCATCACAGGAGGAGGATATAAATATTATGCCTGAATTTGTGATTTGGTAATTTGCTCCTATTCAGTAATTTTCTATTTATTTTCAAAATTGTTTTTCCTAATTCAAGCAGGCTTGGCATGGCCAGGTGGTTAGGGAGCTTGACTTGCAATTTGTGGGTCATGGACTTGATTACCCTTTCAGATGTGGGAGCATTATAATGTGATGGTTCATTCCACTATTTGTTTGTAAAAGAGTAGCCCAAGAGTTGAAAGTGGGTGTTGATGACTAGCTGCCTTCCCTCTAGTCTTTTACTGATATATTAGGGATAGCCAGCACAGATGGCCCTCGTGTAGCTTTGCGGGAAATTCAAACGAAACAAACTTAGTTCAAGCATACTTGTAATGCCAGGTAAATCATAGATAAACATCACATGCTTAAATGGTTGAATGCTATAAAAGATGTTTTAAATGTTAATGTTTTTATACATGATTTATGCAAATATGTTTTGAAATAAGTAATAAAATATAATTTTTTTTTAATAAATGTTTCTGGTTTTTAGAAATATGTAACTCTAAATTTATTATGAACTTTAAAGTATTTTAGTTTTTCATATAAATGTATGAAACATCTTCATATTTTGGGATACATTAGCCAAATAATTACTTTGTACGTGCATCTGTAGCTGTAATTCTTTTATAGTGCCACAAGGCTTACTGTTGAAATATAAAAACTTGCAGAATGTTTTCCTTTTTTTTTTAATTAAACCAGTAAACTTCTCTTATGCCCTTCTCCAGACAGTGAATGTGATTGGTCAGACACTGAAGAAAATCAAAGGCGGCGAGCATTTTGCAACCACATAGAAGGATATGGCAGTGTATGTAGCTGTACTGACCCTGCTCCATTAACATTCTCACCAGAACGTGTAAGTAATAACTTACAGCCATTGAATAATACATTTGTTTTATGATAGAATCAGAAAGTGTGGTAAATGACATTAAAAGAAAAATAATAATAAAACTGTAGTGCTTTCAACAGGTGTACTTATCGAAAGTACTAGGGATTTTGTAGGATTTTTTAAAGTTTTTACCTGTTTATGTATATTCATCATATATGTTTATAAAAGTATACATGTATTTATGACTCTCAGTTGATGTTTTTTTTTTGAGAAAAAAGTGTAACCTGAATGCTGTTCAAAAAAGAAGAATGTATTAATTGTAATAAAATCATAATTTTATGTAAAAGTAAGCTCGGTTGCATTTGTGAATTAAAGTTGAATTTTGAATACATTTTATAATCATAGTTTCAATTCAGTTTTATATTCTGATTTAATTACAATAACTGTTTATAGTTTGTACATAAAAGTTTAATTATTTGTAGCTTCCGAACAATCAAGTGTATGATGTGCCAGTTGCAATCATTGCAAGCAATAGACCCCATTACCTCTACAGGTAAAAAATTGTATATTCATATATACTTACTAGTAAAAACTGTTATAATATTAAATTCTGTCCCTTTTAACAAGGAGGAATAGGTTTACCTTGTGGTAGAGCTTTTTATTTTATAGCTGGTAAGTTGGATTCAAATTTGTGCAATATCATCAAATATTCCTCACATTTTTAGTTCTTGGTGTATTATGAGAGTGACAGCCAATCCCTTAACATGGAAAGTTTGGTAGGGTTCTGTTGACTAGCTTTCTTCCATCTGGTCAGTGGTTGAAAATTAGGGGTGATGGTAGATAGCCTTAATAACTTTGTCATAGGTATAAAACATACGTTTGGTATTATTGATGATGTTTGTAAAACTCTTATATTGTACTTTTATTGTTACTGGATAGGTAATAGATAATTATATCATCTCTTACAAAAAATTACTTCATGACAAACAAAATGCTAGAGATGAATCTTTTAATCTATAATTTTATATTTTACTTTGATCATATATTAGAGCATGCAGCTATTTGGAAATGTTATCTGTAACACTACTGCTAAAATACACATAAAATAAGGTTAATGCTTTAAGATTACATGATTTAACTCATTATGGCTTCCATGGAACATAGGAGTAGAAAGAATGATTTTCTTATTACGAACATTTCGACAAGCTATTATAATGCTTTCATTTATCTCTTAGGGTTTTTTTTATAACTTTACAGGATGCTACGTTCTCTACTCTCAGCTCAGGGTGCTAATCCGGAAATGGTTACAGTGTTTATTGATGGATATTTTGAGGTAAGTGTTGACTCTCCATAAGGTTTCTTGCAATAGACATAATGTAAGTTGAGCTTAGGACAAAGATTTTGAGTATAATGAACATTTCAGCCAGTTATATAATTTAGCAGTTTTCAAAAATGCTAAGATTGTGTGAACAGAGTCAGCTATCCAACAAGTCCAATAAATAAAGGATAACAGAAAAGCAAAAATAAAAACATAAGTTACAAAAAATGAATAGATTGATGTAATAAAAGTAAATTATCACAAAACATTGCATGCACATTAAGCAGAAAGAACGTTAATCTAAATTATGTAACTAATTTTTGAAGAGAAGAAAACAATAATACAAATCAGTGGAAATATTCTGAGAAAAGTCCAATGAAGTTTACCTGATTTGAAAAGTAATATACTAATGCTTCTATATAGTGAACTGTTTATAATAGCCAGCCTCTGTAGTTAAATGAAACAAGCAGACTATGGAACTGAAGTTTTTGTCAATATAAAGAATTTGTGTAGTGTTATAAAAAACTGAAAAACTGCCAGTGAAACTTTAGAACAACAGCATTATGGAACCTATGAAACAGGGTTAATTAAATAATAATGTGGAGTAATTTTGTAGTGTAATGTATAACATCACTTTCAGTAATAGTAGGATTAAACTTGTTCTGAGTACTGATGGCACACTAGTGTTGATACATTTGATGAACACATATGTCTTTTGTTAAGAATTTGCTGAAACATGCACATTTAATGATCAGATATTTGGAAAAACTTCCAAACAGAACTTCTCGTTATTTTTTGGTCGGAAATAATAAATGAAAAATTTAATTTGTTTTGAATGTTTGAAAAATGAGCTACTATAAAGTGTATCACCAATTTTTAATCAAATACTGTTTAAATATTAACAATAATCATACATAGAACACCATTTAGTTTGATTGTACAATTCTGTATAATTCATTACATAAACATTAGATAAAATCAAGTTGTACTGCAGTATAATTCTTACCTGGATACCACGCAGCCCAAAAAGTTTTGTTACTTCTAGGGGCTCCTGAAATATCAAAAGTAAGATTCATTCTTACTAATATAAATTTGAGAAACTCAGTAGACTTCTAAAATATAGCACAATTTCATATTTTTAGTGATATTTTGTTGATATTCAGATGACGCAGAGAATGACAATTAGACTAACAAAGTTTATTATTTTCATACACATGTATATCAGCATGTTCAAAAGATGATGCTCTTACTAGATTTCTTGTTAATGTTTATTTCACATAAAAAATGCTGATTTTGTGGTGGAATTTCATCAGTTGTGATCTTTAATCCACTGACTACTAAGAATTGTTTTATCCTGGTGTGATAACTGTGTTAAAAGAAATACTTTTTTAATGTATGCACAAGTGATCATGATTTACTCTCTTTCTATGTAAATATCTGTGTATTATTATGTGTGTATGTGTTAGGTTTTATAAATTAAATTTTATTAATAAAAAGAAGAAAATAATAAACATATTTATATATATATTTCAATGAAACAAACAGTCCTATAAACAGTTAATGTCATACGGACAAAGAAGACATGGATGCAAACTACAGTAGATATGGCCTGATGGAAGAGAGGTTATTAGAAGCAATACCCACAGCATAGTGGGGACATACCATCTCAAATCTTTAAAAATTTAGTATATGAATGTTTTTATTGATTTTAAATATACATGAGCATTATATAGTTATCAAATTGTATGAAATTTATTTAATAAAAACTGCTAATTATCATAAATGTGAACAGTTTTTTTTTTTAATCCTATGATACATTATTTTAAGATTTTCTGTACTTGGATTAAATTTTGAAGACATTCAGAATTGACCTGAACTGTACAGTAAAGTTATTACAAATTGAGTGATGTTGGTTTTATTATTCACAACTGAGAGAATCATCTCCTTTATATATTGCATATTTGAAAAGCAACACGGTTATTTATTTGCTCTTTCAGCACACGCCTATAGGATTAAAAAATGCACGGATATCGCAACACTACAAGGCTAGCCTGACTGCTTCTTTTAATTTGTTTCCAGTAAGTGAAAAGTTTTGTATTTAATGTGGAAAAAACATTATATTTACAGAAATAATAATATTAGAAAAGTCTATAAGTGTTGAATAATATTTTTCAAGTATTGCAGCAAACAAGTGTTACATTAATTATCATTGTTTGCCTTTTTATAAGGATGCCAAGTATGCGATAATTATTGAAGAGGACTTGGACGTTTCACCAGATTTCTTTAGGTGAGTAAAAGTTTCCAGTACTGTTGATTTTCTTTTTAAAAAGATTATCTATCAGGGTTGTAGTGAGTGTGCATTTCTTTAAACTCACTGTGACTGAAACTTTTTATGTTATATCTTGGAGTTTTGTGCCTATCAAAATTGCACATGTGCTTTCTTTGAGGGTCACATTTTAGTTGGGTAGGTTCTTTAGTCTGTTAAGTGTTAATGAATATTAACGTATAACGAAATTGAGTTTTTACTTGATATATATATATCTTTATAAGGAAACTTTCTCTTTCCAGTTACTTCAGTCAAACATTAAGAATCTTAGATGAAGATGAGACAGTTTACTGTGTATCTGCATGGAATGATCAGGTTAGACTGAATATTTACGTTCTGTTACCTTTAATAGATATGAAACTAATATTGGCCATTAAAACTATTTGTGTGAATAACTGTATTTGAAATTTTAAAAGAGAGTTGGTATGAAATAAGCTGATAATATAGTTCTGTTGCAATAACTCTTATGTCACTTTAGTTCTAATATTTTTTTAAATTGATTAAATGTCATGGTACAAGAATCAAAAGTTATTTATATCACAGGGATATGAGCATACGAGTGAGGACCCAAGCCTTCTGTATCGGGTAGAAACGATGCCTGGTCTCGGGTGGATCCTCAAGAGGAGCCTCTACAAAGAGGAACTTGAATCTCGTTGGCCAACACCAGAAAAGGTTTGTAAAAGTTTCTGCCAGATTATATAATTAAGTTCATTTCTTGTCTTTGCACACACACACACAAATTTGTACCTTAAGTTGAAGCAACAAGTAAAGATAGATAATGTACAGTAGGATACAAAATAAAAGTTTGTCAAGAAAGGTACCTTGTACATTATAATAGTCTTAAATTTGAATCTTATTTATTAAATTATATTAACTGAGTGCTGTTTCTTCAACTTTGAAGCACGATACACTGCATTATGATTAATCCTCTTTTTTTTTTAAATCTGTTTCACTTAAAAATAATTTGATTATTGATACCAGTTTATATTGTTGCCGGTTAACTGGTAAGAAATGATAATATTGGATGACTTTTGTATTTCTTAATTAGATATGTCAAATAAAAACAAGATATGATGCATGATGTTGAATATTCTAATGAACAAATTAGGTCTCCCTATTATGTAATTTGCAAGTTAATTTGTGTAATATGTTGAAAAATGTGAAGTTTCTGTTTTCTAAATACTTTGTTTGGTTTTTAAATATTTTGTTTTTGAAAATATTAAATCCAGCTGTGGGACTGGGATATGTGGATGCGGCTCCCTGACATCCGGAAGGGACGGGAATGTGTCGTGCCCGATGTATCCAGGACATATCATTTTGGCTCCTCAGGGCTCAACATGAATTCCTATTTTCAAGATGTGTATTTTAAGAAACATGCTTTTAATACTCAACCTAGCATAAAGATGAATGATATAAACAGGTAATTCTACTGGTATTTGGTTTCCTTCATCCATGTACAGATGAATTATGTTCTTTTATAGCAGACTTTCTCAGTCCTTTTAGGTTTGACAGACTACTTATAAACTAGCAAAATAAATAAAATTTGTTTATTTATGAAAGAAGTAGTACAGTTAATATACATGCTGTATTGTAGTTTCCTGAAGCAAACAAGAATAAGGAGCTGCATGGGTTTTAAAAACGGGTTTATCTTGAACAATGGTGATTATCCTGAAGAAGGCCTAACCTAGCTATTAAGTGTGAAAATCTTGTCCAGTAGCTTGCTGCTAATATTTCAACCAGCAAAATCACTAAAGAATAATTCTGAACTCAGCTAAACAGACTTGCTGATCTTCTTTAACTTGGAAAGAGCACACTGTTTTTTGAAATTGTTACAATGAAATAATTTATACATTCTTAAATTACTGTAGGATTTTGTAATCATATTTTACTATCCTTTGCCACTCAACCCAACATACAAATAAATAACATCAACAAATTAGGCCTTGAATATTTGTGCTTAGTACAGTTTAGAGCAAGCTCACTACTGAAAGTAAAACTAAAAATCAGTTTGGTAATGAGTATAGCTGATTAAATTTACTTTTCTGTTAAATGAGCTATAAAAACATGATGCTAACAAATAATATTATTGGCTGCTTTTAACTCTTGGCATACTGTTATCTATACTTAATTTGCTTTGCGGTTTTTTATAGTGACTAAGAGATTTCTTTGAGTAATGTTTAGTCTTTGAATTTAATTGGTGTAATTTTTCTATGGATTAAAAACTTGATATGCTTAATTAACTTAACTAGTAGTTAAAAAGACTACTGTGTTAATCTCTGTTTACACCTTATCATCTTAAGTAATTGTTTGAATGAGAAAAGAAAATAATCAAGAAGAAATATATATAATTATAGTGAATGTATAACAGATTTAAAACTTGTTACAATATGCTGAACAAAACTTTCTGATTAACAACGTTAAAAAAGGTCAGCTTGTTTCTAATTTTAGTACGGTAAAAACTATTTGTATTGTGCCCCAGTGATCATAAACACAGTGAAACCTTGTGCATTTTATGAATCAAAACAGATAATAACTTTATAGTAATGTTTTAAAAGAATGTAGGAAGACATTAAAAAGTTGGTAATTAAAATTACAACAAAGGTAAGCATTTATGTTCTGTTAAAAGAAAAAACGTATCACAATGAAATATTTTTGTTGAAATGTAAAAGTTGCACATTCATACAAATATTACATAAAAATGGGATGTTTTCAGAGGATACATAATTTGTAAAATGTTCTTCTGAAGTTTCAAATTATTCCAACAAGTGTGTCAATTCGCAGCATGCTGGACTGATAGAGTTAAGTAATTTCGTGTAGGCTGGTTTAATTTAAAATCATGGAATCTTATGTTTTCTACATTTTTATACTTTTAAACCCATATTATTATTATTTTTTAAGATGTATGATTTACAACTTATATCTTTTTAGGTAATCTTCAGTTTAAATTGGATATATTTCCTTTTAAAAAGGTAATACTTACTATGATGTTCACAGAAGTTAATTGTAAAAAGTGTATTTGATTTGTGTGTTTTTTTACCCTTTGTCTTGTTTCTTTTCAGTGTTAAGAAAGATAATTATGAAGCACAAATAGAAGAGTTATTAAGGTAAGTTAGAAGAATTTGTTGATTTAACAAAATATTTCTTGGTGTGAAATATGCATGAACATTAAGTTTTTTCATGTTATTCTATTTTAGACAGGCTTGTTTTTACATGTATTTTAAGTTCCATGTTCTAATATTTTAGAAATATGATAGGAAATTTTGCAATGCATAGAAATATGTTGGTTAAAAAACATAATTTTTCCGATAAATATTACAGGAAAGCAGTTGTATTAGACCATAGCAAATCACCATGTGAGGAGAATTTTGTCCCAGATACTAAGGTTAGCAGTCACTCTATATCTTAGTTTTACTGTTTATTTAACAGAAGGTATCATTTCAAAAGATCAAAACCTGGAACATAACTGTCTATTTATGCATAACTTAGGTTTTCATAAAGATTATTTTTGAAGTTTACAAACAGCATACTATCATGTTCCTACTGTGCTTCTGATTCATGTTTTTGTCAAAAAGATGTGTATGTGATGACATAAAGCAAGAATTGTAACAGAAAAATTTATTTCAGATTTCTTAATAAATATCTAAGAAACCTCTATTGCTTTAAAGTTATATAATACACTTTAAAATTGCAAGTTATATATTAAGTTTTATATCCAGGCATGACTTAAGTGTGTTTATATTGACAGGGAGGCATCTACGTGATGTTTATTAAAATGAGCAGCCCAAGGGATTTCACCACATGGCTTCAAGTTGCAAAAGTAAGTTGCTATCATTTTGTGACCAAGAAGAAAAAAAAAAGATTTTAGTGATGACAGTTATACATATTCAATGTGTGGCTGACAATCCTTGCTCTTAATGTGTCATTTATAGTTACACAATGAAATATGTATTGACAGTTTAAGCTTCTAATGCATGTTTCATAATGTAGTGGACAGTTTAATGTGTTATGAACAGTTTTAAGTATTAATATAGTTTGAAAGTTGTAGAGTTTAATGTTTGGTTGAGTGTTGTACTGATTAGTGTAGAATTAAATGTCGTAGTACTTGATATTTGGTTGACATTAGTTACATAATATGTGAAAAATGACTGTGACAGTTATTACAGGAAGTTACTCTTAACTGTTATTAACTATATTGTAAATAAAATGAAAAATAACAAAACCTTATTACTATGTTGTGTTTTCAATACTTTTCAAGATGTTATAAATGCATGAGATGAGCTAGTTAAGTTTCTGATTTCCTTTTCAGTGTTTTAAAATTTGGGACCTAGATGCAAGAGGCTATCATAAAGTGAGTATTTCTCAGTTAACTGAATAATTTATTTTACAATACACTTAGAGAGCTTAAGGGTGTTATGTTGCTTTTAAAATTAGCTTTGTAATTACTTCTTGAAAACTTGGTTTGGTCAAGATGCAGTGTTTTAAACAAAAAAATGTAATTTAAGTATCATTATTTTTGATATTTTCTACAAGAGAGCTTGGTTGAAAGTTTGTTATATTGTCCAATAATTATTGATGTACAATATCTTTCATAATACAAGTTTCTAACACCTTCCAGTATGTGTAGTTATTTTACTTTTTTTAACGTACCAGGAAAATCTTTCCCTTTACATCTGTCATGACATAGTTAATTTATTATTTGTATGGGTCTCTGTCACCCACCAAGTTATTCTAACTTCATCAGACAGAGAAAGGATTTTTCAAACTTCGTGTTATTCTTTCTTTTCCTTGGACAAGGAATTTTTTGACATCTTTAATTCTATTTTTCTAGCAAGGATGAGTGTTTTTTTTTAACTTTTTGTAATGTGTTAACCTGTTGTTGTTGTTGTTTCAAGTCCAGTAACTAGTAGCAAAACAATATTTTGTAGGTGACACAAGGGCCTATTTTCAAAATGACTTTCTGATGTATTGTGTTGTTTCTCACATACAATAGTTTGAAAGTTTAAGAAAATCATATTGTTATTATTTACAAGCTTAATAAAAATGGGTATAAAATATATGGACAGTTTGTGACATTTCATTACATTTAGTCTACAACTGTAATAGATGTTAACAACTAGTGTTTGTGTTCCTTAAGTAAGGTATACTTTATTCTTTCTCTAATGTTACTTTCATTAAAAGTATTGCTTAGAATATTTAATATATATATATTTATTTATATCTTCATTATTTTACATTTATAATGTAATTATAAGAATATTTAATACATATATATATATATATATATTTATCTTCATTATTTTACGTTTATAATGTAATTATAATAATATTTAATATACACACAGCGTGGTCACAAGTACCACCTTTTCAGAAAAAATTAAATTTTTCAGTCATATTTATAATTTAATTAATATCCAGTAGATCTTCCTTTCGCTTCATGAAGTTCATTGATCCTTTGGGGCATCGTGAGAATCATCTCGTCAATTTTAGATTGTGAGATTTTTGCCCACTCTTGCTTCAAAACTTGGAGTAGATTGCTCTTTGAAGTTGGTTTTTGTGGTTGTTTCTTGACTTGCCGGTCAAATATGGCCACTTTTGGA